TGACCATGTCGCCAAAGCTGTTTACTGCCGCAGTGGGTGATGACATCACTAGGTCGGGAAAGGAGTTGATGAGAGATTCCTCTCGAATCCTCGTTTTGCGGACGACATTGTTCTCTTCTCAAGAATATCACTGAAGCGGAGACGATGTTGAAGGAACTAAACGAAGTAGGGAAGCGGACTGCGAATCAACCGGAAGAAGACTCAGTTCATGAAAAACGAAAGAACTAGAAGGCTCTGCAATTGCGGGTCTTCTTACGTATTTCTTGGGCGTTCGATAAACATGGAGAACGATTTGGAAGAAGAATTAAACAGGAGGCAAAGAGCAGTTTGGGCCGCCTTTGGGCCCCTAAAGGAAGCCACGGACCAGCTGACGGAGCCACAGCTCCGAATCCACCTGTTCGATTCAACTGTTCTCCCTGCGCTCTGCTACGCAGCAGAGACGTGGCCTGACTGTGGCTATGTCAAAGGCTCTCCGAACAACCGACAGAGCTCTGGAACAACGTTTTCTGAAGTATAATCGACGCACCCAACATCTCGTCGGACTTCGCAGTTTAGATATGAGATCAATGTCTCGTCTTCGCGTACCAGCGGAATACGTCTCTAAGGCAACGCATCGATGGACTGGTCATATATAAGGACAGACGACAGATGGACACTAAGAATTTTGGAGTGGAGTCCTCGCGAAGCCAAACGTCCTCGAGGAAGGCCACCGACCAGATGGGCTGACATGTTCGTTGTGCGGATGGACCAGCTGAATTCTCAGCTGGTAACGAGTAATGGACCTGAACTTCGCGAACGTCGCCGCCGCAGTTTAATACCAACATCGTGGATGACGTTAGCGAGAGACAGAAACGAATGAAACAGTGCTGTGGCCTGCAGTGCACAACAAGTGAAGACAGGCCACCTAAGTAAGTATCTAAGGTGGTAGCAAAAATCTTCGTTTGTTTTCGCTTACAACATCGAAGTCGAAGGAAGGTTAAGTTTAAAAGAAGTAGAGAGCTCCTTCGCGCAGACAGGTGTAGTGGCGGTAAATTTTTCATATGCATAGTTAAACAGCACCATTTGCAATACTTGACTTTTTATCCTAAAGGGCTTACG